GCCACCATCTTCGCCAACTGCGTGGCCCTGGGGGTCTACATCCCCTTCCCTGAGGATGACTCCAATGCCGCCAATCACAACCTGGTGAGTGCCCCCAGACCCCCAGAAATGGGGACAGCCCCCACCCCACACCCTGTCGGTGCCCACGGGGCCTTAACTGGTCCCAGTTGGGTGCTGGGAGGACACTGGGAAAGGACACTGGGAAAGGGGGGGAGCTTCACCCCAGCACTGGGACCCACCCTGGACTGGGCTGGGGGCCGGGGAGTGACATTTTGGGGTCTGGGGGTGCTGTGGGGGTGCCCAGACACACTGGGGATGGCACTGTGGGGTGTCAGGGGACCCCGGAGTGTCCCTGTGTCACACGTGTCCCCTGGCACACGCTGGGGATGGCACTGTGGGGTGTCAGGGGACCCCGGAGTGTCCCTGTGTCACACGTGTCCCCTGGCACACGCCGGTGCCGCTGCCTTAATCCGCTTTGCCGGCGCGGGGGGGGGCCGGGGGGGCCTAATCCTGGCTGAGCCTCCCCAGACACCCACGGGGGACACTGAGGGGGGGGGTGGCCCAAATTTCACCCCGAGGGAGGGGACACTGGGGCAGGATACCCCAAATATCTCTGTTCCTTGACCCCAGAGGAAGGGGACTCTGGGAGGGGTGTCAGGGCTGTCCCCATATCTGTGTCACTTGTCCCTAGGCAGAGGGAAAGCTGAGGGAGGTGCAGGGTCAGGGGAGGTCCCCAAGTGTCCCTATTTCTTGTCCCTCAGGAGAAGGGGACACTGGGAGGGGGTCCCCAAACATCCCCGTCCCCTAGGGGATGCTGGAAGGGTCAATGAGGGTCCTCAAATGTCCCCGATCCYCAGGGAGGGGGACACTGCGAGTGATGAGGGGCCGGGAATGTCCTGAGATGTCCTCCTGGAGAAGGGGTYGCTGGGGCTCCAGGGTGCCAGGGTGGGGACAACAGATGGGGTGGTGACCCCATGTGTCCCCAGAGCAGGGGGTGCTGACCCCCACCCACCTTCCTGCCCCCCAGGAGCAAGTGGAGTACGTGTTCCTCATCATCTTCACGGTGGAGACATTCCTGAAGATCATCGCCTATGGGCTGGTGCTGCACCCCAGCGCCTACATCCGCAACGGCTGGAACCTGCTCGACTTTGTCATCGTCATAGTGGGGTGAGGGGCGCCCCGGGGCTGGGGACAGCTGGGGGAGGGGGGGAAAGAGCCGTGTGACCCCCCAATGTCCCCCCAGGCTGTTCAGCGTGATCCTGGAGCAGGTGTCCCACAAGCCGGGCGATGCCCACCACATGAGCGGGAAGCCGGGCGGCTTCGATGTCAAGGCTCTGCGCGCTTTCCGCGTCCTGCGGCCGCTGCGCCTCGTCTCCGGCGTCCCCAGTGAGACCTCGGCGGGACGGGGAGGGGTTTGGGGTCCATCCCAGCCTCTTCCAACCCCCCCCTGTGCACCCCCAGGCCTCCACATTGTGCTGAACTCCATCATGAAGGCCATGGTGCCGCTGCTGCACATCGCGCTGCTCGTGCTCTTCGTCATCATCATCTACGCCATCATCGGCCTCGAGCTCTTCATCGGCCGCATGCACAAGACCTGCTTCTTCATCGGCTCTGGTGGGGACAGGGGGGTCATCCTGTGTGTCCCCCCCAGCGTCAGGGACATCCCCAGCATCGGGGACACCCCCAGGAGTCCCTCAGTGCTCAGGGACCTGGATCCCCCAGGGACACCTGCCCTGAGACTGCCCTAAAACCCCTGAGACTCCTCCCCAGCACCGAAGATCCCCCAGGGACACCCAACAGGGTTCTGAGTCCTCCAATACCCCCTTGAGACCCCACAAACCCCCTGAGGCAGTAATGTCAGGAGTGTGAGTTGCCAGGAGGGACAAGAGTGGATGGTGGGGACAGGAACTGTGTCCATGTGGGTGAAAGAGAAACTCAGGGACAGGAGCTCTCAGTGGGAACAAGAGTTACCCAAGGGGACAGGAATTGTCAGTGGGGACAGGAGTTACCCATGGGGACAGGAGCTGTCAGTGGGGACAAGAATTACCCATAGGGACAGGAACTGTGTGAGGGCAGTGACAGGGGACACCCAGCTGGCAGCCAGCAGCAGGGCCCATTGTCCCCTGTCCCCAGACCTGGAGTCGGAGGATGACCCCTCTCCCTGCGCCTTCTCGGGCCACGGCCGCGCCTGCCTGCAGAACAACACCGAGTGCCGGGGCCGCTGGGAGGGCCCCAACGGCGGCATCACCAACTT